ACCCACCACCATGCCAGGCTATTTTTTGGTTGCATTTGTCATTGTTGTTTAGCAGGCCTGCGCCGGTTTCAAACCCGCCAGCCTCGGTGTATGTGGTCGGTGTCCTACCCTCTGACTCTGGGTGCCACCTATTTTGCAAAAACTTTTTAATACACCAGCAAAAAACAGAGAAAGTGAAATTTTTAAAAGCAGTCCCACTTATAAAAGTCCTCAAGTGCCTAGGTGAAGAACATCTAATGTTTTCAAGAAGTATATCCAAAAAAAGAAAACACTACAAAACAATGAGAGGGATATATCTTGTGTATGCACTCTCAGGATAATATAAAAAAAAGACATCTGTTTTCTCAACCTTAATTCATATGTTCAACACATCCTTAATAAAAATCCTAGCACAGTGTGGTGCCTGTGGCTCAAAGGAGTAGGGCGCCAGCCCCATATACCGGAGGTGGTGGGTTCAAAACCAGCCCCGGCCAAAAACTGCAAAAAAAAAAAAAAAAAAAAAAAAATCCTAGCACACTCTTTTATGGAATTAACAAGCTGATTCTAAAGCTCATTAGAACATTTAAAAGGCCAATAATAGTCAAGGCTATTTTGTATAACAGAGCTAGAGAATTTATATTCCCAAGTATTAAGACTTGTTACAAAGCCATAGAAATTACTAAAGTGTGATTTTGGCATAAAATTAAACAAAACTTGTAATTTGAATATACTATACCATTAAGAAAGTGGATAAGAAGCCACAGAAGGGGAGAAGGTATTTTCAGTTCACATATATGACAATAGAACTGAATAAGAAAAAAAGTAAGCTTTTTAATAAGAGGGCAGATAGCAAATCTTTTGGGCTTTGTCACAAATGCTCAGCTTTGCTATTACAGTGTTAATGCAGCCATATGTAATATGTTAGCAAAGGAGCATGGCTATTTCCCAGTAAGACTTTATTCTTAAACCCAGGTGGCAGTATGGATTTGATATATATATAGCTCATAATTTTCTGGCCCCTGATCTAGAATATATAAAGAGTACCTACAAATCAAGGGAATGGAAAAGACAAAACACTTGGCCATTGGCTTCACAAACAGGATATCCAGATGGCCAGTAAATATAAAAAGATATCTTACCTTTATTGATAATCAGAGATGCAAATTCAAAACATCAGCTACCACTCACCCACTGAAATAATTACAATGAAAAGCAAAAACAAAAGAGGCATCAAGTTTTGGCAAAGATGTAAGCAGTGGAAGCTCTTTTACTGGGGGAATTGCCAGTTGATAAAGACAATTTGGAAAGCTGGCACTTGTAAAGCAGTGAGAATGAATGATCTGGAAGTCTGTGCAATAATGTAGCTGAATTTCACAAACAGTGCTGAATGAACGAATCCAGACACAAAAGTGAACATAAGGTATGATTCCATCTGTGTAAAGCATAAGGACAGCAACCTTGTCTACTTTGAAATTAGAAATCAGGATATGGGTTAGCTTTGACCAAGGCTGAAAATGGGCATTAATCTGGTGCTGGAAATAATCCGTTTCTAAATCTAGGTGCTGAATATCTTGAATATGTTCTTAAGTGTATTTTTCTGCATGTGTGTTATACTTTTCCATAAATTTTTTAAAAACCACAAATGGCTAACATCTATGTTGCTCAGCACTCTTTCATCATATTTTTCTAGATGTATATGAATATGCTGCATAACAAGAATCAAATAGATTTTGTATAATTCTGTGCAGGAAATACATACTCTATAGTAGTTTTAATGCCAACTACTATGATTTCCTACACTGTGTCCTTAAGGCTTAGCATAATGTATATTTTAAGTAAAATATTTGGAAAGGTTAATGGATCATTACATATTTTGTCATCTTACACTTTTGCATATATATAAATGGGTATGAACTGCCTCTTCAATAAATAGATAATGCATAACATTTCATGTTTTCTCAAATTGTTTTTCACATTTCTGAATTTGAGATACATCTTAGCCATTACAATAGGGGTGAACTTTCTTTGCAGTAAATAAACGTTGCAGTGAGTTTGATTGATGAAAAATTTTATTTAAAAACTTTCAACAGATGTAAGATACACAGTTGTTAACAGCACAAATGTGAGTGAAGAAACAGGTGACTAGGACTTTGCACTATAAAAAAATAGCTTTGGTTGGGATGCTGGAATGAGCATATAAAAGCACAGCAGGAACTACATACAACATCCCATGGTGTGAACTATGTGTACTTTTTGTTTCACCTTTCTCACAGGGGAGTAAACTTAAAGTGTGAACAGATTACTGATGCTTTGCATGCCTAAGAAAGAGGAGTCCTATGGGACTTGGAGGTGTGATTTCTCCACCTGGATTGATGTGGTTGTCGGTCAATTGGACATAACCACTACACAAGGCTGCAGCTCTCCCTTCAGTACCATGAAAAGCTGCTTATTTCATTAGAAGACATTTACTATTCAGTTATGTCTCTAAGATTTGTTAAAAGACATTAATGCAAGACTACTACTTGAGGCCCAAAATTTACCCACTGATTATTCTATCCCAAATTATGTCCCAATTATATCCAGATATGGGGAAACCAAGTTCTCAAAGAGTGCAATGCCTGTGAAATACAGCACAATTGTGTTTCAGTATGTCCCAACTTCAGTTACATGAAGGACACAAAGTGTAGTTTCCTTCCTAATTGCCACATAGGTAATTGTGTCAAAAAATAATGTGAAAATTCCCTTTCACATTAAAGGAAGAAATTTGGTTTCTGTCAAATTGGTGAACTCCCGTTGAATTCTAACTTGTGAATAAAGGGCACAGAGTGAAAATAATGTTAAAATCTTTTAAGGGGGGCGGCCCCTGTGGCTCAATGGGTAGAGCACCAGCCCCATATACCGAGGGTGGCGGGTTCGAACCCAGCTAAGGCCAAACTGTAACAAAAAATAGCCAGACGTTGTGGCAGGTGCCTGTAGTCCCACCTACCTGGGAGGCAAGAGAATCACCTTAGTCCAGGAGTTGGAGGTTGCTGTGAGCTGTGAAGCCATGGCACTCTACCAAGAGTGATAAAGAGACTCTCAAAAAAAGAAAAAAATCTTCTAAGGGAAGATAGGGCTGTTGTAGTGTCTCAGTGGAGAAAGATGTGGCAAAATGTGACAATAAAAACACTGGTGCAAATGTCATAGCATCTGAGCAAGACTTTCAACATGAATTCTTTTCTCTGCACATTGCCAAGTCAATTCATTGCTGGACTTGACCACACAGTAGGACTGGGACACAGGCAGTTAGTAGCCCAGCACTACCAGAACCAGCAGAGCCTGGCTGGAATGAGGGCCAGGTGAAACAAGCACAGGTAGGGTGTTTAGCTAGAGTGCTTCCATGCTCCAAAAACAGCTTTTATGACACCTGAAGAAATTTGACATGTTTTAGTGCAGATTTTTTTTCCCCAGTGGTAAGATAGGACTTTTATTAGAAGTTAGAAAGGAGTACAGAAGTAAAAAGCACCAGAGTTTCTGGAAGGAGGAA